AATAAAAATGACATATTGGGTATAACGTGCACTACTTGAGTGAGGAGTGAACTAAAATCACAAACTTCACCACAATACAATTTGTCCATGTAACCAAAAACCACTTGTATCTGAACCAGAAATAGAAATATATTAATTAAATTTTTTGAAATATTAAAATGGAAATATATTAATTAAAAAATAATAAAACAGTCGATTTAAAGTATTTGTCTAATATTTCCAATGCTTTGGCTTCCTCAGAGGTGATTTCCATTAATATTTTCCCCTTCAAACAGGACACAAATTCTTCTTTCCTTACATTTGCTATAAGTTTTTGTAATAATTTTGAGTATTGTAATGTAAGAACTCTGCAAATCAGACCATAGTCCCCCACCCAAGGTTTTGTTGTTGCTGTTTCATATAGGTTGCCTTTGTTTACTTATTTAGTGTTTTATCAAAATTTTTTTTGTAATGTCTGTATTCTTTGTTGTGTGGTGCCACTGTAGTATGTGTTCCATTAGCTTAGGGATCACCTAGTGTTTTTACAACGTTTTCTTACATGTTTGGTGCAAAAAAACCCACTTCAAAAACCAACAAAAAAATATACGTTCATAGTCTTTACTCCTTGGCCATGTTTATGCGTGCATTTTTCCAATACTGAGCTTGGCCATTTACAGTTGTTTCTTACCTTTTATTTCCTGCTTGTGCAGAGACCAAAAGCTAGCCAGGGGCCTCAAACACTAGAGTCTTCTCAGGCCTTTTGTGAGAAAGTGTTCAATTTTGTGTATGCATGTTGTTTTCTTGATTCTCTGGTATACACAGAGTTATAGAAGTCCCTAGTTCCCGAGTGTCTCCTACAATCTTCTCCAAAATATTTTCAGTCTGTCCATTTCTTGTCTAAACTGTCGTTCTTTTTTCCAGGTTGCTGCAGCCAATACTCATGTCTTTAAACAACACATTCAGAAAAAGCTTCCAAGCAATGTGCTCCAGCCTGGGACTGCTGCAAAAAGGATGCAACAAAGGCAAGCTAATAGTGCTCCCTCTGACACTAGAACTGTGCATCAGGAATACAGGCTGCTGTTATGGTTGCCACCAATCTTGGTTGTAGGGATAGGAGATGAATTATTTAAAATACCACAACACTCTTTTACTGCAACATAGCAGCTTCTATCTTTATCAAGTAATCCCCTGATGGTTTTAAGTTTTTCACTGGATCCAAGAGGTTTGCAGGAATTGATTTTGACATTTTTTCCATGCTCACTGATTGTGTGTGAAGAGTAATGAAGCTCTGGATTCCCTCACTTTGCTATTTTTAGTGACACCTGAATTGTCAATGTTTAAATAAAACTCAAAATATTAAATATTAAAATGGCCAGGTGGAGTGGCTCACAAATACATTCTGGAGCCCCTTAGTTTGCTATTTTTAGTGACATCTGAATTGTCAATGTTTAAATAAAACACAAAATATAAAATATTAAAATGACTAGGTGGAGTGGCTCACACCTATAGTCCCAGCACTTTGGGAGGCCGAGACGGGCAGATCATGAGGTAAGGCGTTCGAGACCAATGTAGCCAACATGGTGAAAACCGGTCTCTACTAAAAATGCAAAAATTAGCCAGACGTGGTGGTGGGCACCTGTAATCCCAGCTACTCGGGAGGCTGAGGCAGGAGAATCATTTGAACCCAGGAGGCAGAGGTTGCAGTGAGCAAAGACTATGTCATTGCACTCCAGCCTGGGCAACAGAGAGAGACTCCATCTCAAAAACAAAACAAAACAAAACAAAACAAAGCAAAACAGAAAAACAAAGCAGAATAAATGCAAGATGACTGAATAGGAACAGCTCTGGTGTGTAGCTCCCTGAGAGAGTGATGCAGAATGCGGGTGATCTCCACATTTCCAACTGAACCTTCTCACTGGGGCTGGTTGGACAGTGGGTGCAGCCCAAGGAATGCAAGCTGAAGTAGGGTGGGTCACCACCTCACCTGGGAAGTACAAGAAACTGGGAAACTCCCTCTCCTAACCAAGGAAAGACATTAAGGACTGTGTCTGGCACACTGGCCCAGTTACTGTGCTTTTCCTATGATCTTCACAACTCACAAACCAGGAGATTCCCTCTGATGCTGACAACACGAGGACCCTGGGTTTGCAGGACAAAATTGGGCGGCCGTTTGGGAAGACACCGAGCTAGCCACAGTAGTTTTTTTTTTTTTCCTTACCCCAGTGGCACTTGGAACACTAGCAAGACAGAATTGTTCACTCCCCTGAAAAAGGGGACTGAAGGCAGAAAGCCAAGTGATCTGGCTTGGCTGGTCCCACCCCTATGAAGACCAGTAAGCAAAGACCACTGGCTTGAAATTCTTGCAGCCAAAAAAGAAGTCTCAGCTTGACCTGGCACATTTCAGCTGTGGCGGGGAGGGGTGTCCACCATTGGTGAGGCTTGAGTACGCAGTTTCAACCTCACCCATGTAAACAAAGTCACCAGAAAATTCAAACAGGGAGGAGCCCACGGCAGATTAGCAAGACTTTTGCAGGCAGACTCTGTCACTAGACTCCCTCCTCGCAGAGCAGTTTAATTAAGTCCTATCTATTTATCTTTGTTTTTGTTGTATTTGCTTTTGGGTTCTTGGTCATTAAGTCTTTGCCTAAGCAAATGTCTAGAAAGATATTTTCTGATGTTAGCTTTTAGAATCTTCATAGTTTCAGGTCTTACAATTAAATTCTTAATCCATCTTGAGTTGATTTTTGTATAAGGTGAGATATTAGGATCCAGTTTTATTCTTCTACATGTGGCTTGCCGATTATCCAAGTACCATTTGTTGAATAGGGTGTCCTTTCCCTACTTTATGTTTTTGTTTGCTTTGTCAAAGATTAGTTGGCTGTAGTATTTGGCTTTATTTCTGGATTCTCTAATCTGTTCCATTGTTTTACATGCCTGTTTTTATGCCAGTACAACACTGTTTTGGTGACTATGGCTTTATAGTATAATTTGAAGTCAGGTAATGTGATGCCTCCAGATTTATTCCTTTTGCTTAGTCTTGTTTTGGCTATGTGTGCTCTTTTATTTCCATATGACTTTTAAAATTATTATTTTCTAGTTCTGTGAAGAATAACTCTTATTTTTATTCAAATTGCATTTAATTTATAGACTGCTTTGGCAGTACGGTTGTTTTCTGAATACTGATTCTAGCCATGCATGAGCATGGGATGTGTTTCCATTTGTTTGTGTCATCTATGATTTCTTTCAGCAGTGTTTTGTAGTTTTTCCTGTAGAGGTCTTTAACGCACTTGGTTAGGTATATTTCTAAGTATTTTACTTTTTTTGCAGCTATTGTGAAAGGTTGTTGAATTCATTTACCAGTTCTAGGAGCTTTTTGGATGGGTCTTTCGGGTTTTCTAGCTATATGATTATACTACCAGTGAACAGTGATAGCTTGATTTCCTCCTTACCAATTTGGATGCCCTTTATTACTTTCACATGCTCTGGCTAGAACTTCCAGTACTATGCCAAAGAAAAGTGATAAGAGTAGGCATCCTGTTTTGTTCCAGTTTTCAGAAGGGAATGCTTTCAACTTTTCCCATTCATTAGTATGTTGGCTGTGGATTTGTCATATATGGCTTTTATTACATTAAGATATGTCAATTCTATGCTGATTTTGCTGAGGGTTTTAATAATAAGGGATGCTGAATTTAGCCAAATGCCTTTCCTGCATGTATTGAGATGATCACAAGATTTTTGTTTTAATTCTATTTATGTTGTGTACCAAGGTGCCCTTTGACTGTCATTCAAGTCTGTTAACTTTTATCAACATACAACTCTTTAAAATTGTGGTTACTTCTTTTGCTGGTAAGTGGTAGATTTAGCTAAACAAACTAGAATTGAATTTAATAACAGCGATAATTGACAACCATGAAAAAAGGGCGAAACTTCAAAATAGAGATAAAGAATGCTAACGATAATCCTGCTGAACAACAAAAAAAGTCAAAATACATTTGGTATTTTCTATTATGAAATCAAAGATTCTATAAGTATGCATCAAAACTGGAAATATTTTTCCCATAAAGTGAAAAGCTACCATTTTTACAATACATATATTTACATGTAACAAGTTATTCTGCAATTAAGCTAGGCAGATAATGGATTACTGCAGTTACAAGACTAGAAGAATAGTAGTTTTGAATAAAACTGTGAAATACTAACACTAGATTTCCTTAAAAATAATATTTTGCACCTTCCCAAAAGCTTGCATATGAAAGCTGCAGAAAAAAGGAGCAGGAAATGAGCAGCAGATAACAGGTTACTGACATTTTCTCAAATTCAAATATACAGAAAATCCAGTGAAACACAATTCAGAAATAAAGAAGAAAGAGTTATTTCCAAAATATGTGAGGTTTTTAAAAGAGCTAATTTGGTTAACATTGATGTGTCTTCAGTTTAGAAATCAAGCTACTTTTATAACCAGGAAAACATCTCTCAGAAGATAAGGCTACCATTTTGTAAATAAATCTTAATTACATGTTGCCTACCCATTTTAATTTTCACTTTGCTTACAAGCTAGGGAATAGAACATCCATAGTTTGTTGATATGAGTTTGTGTTGTGTCTCTATAGATATTTTCAGCTAAAGTCTAGGAAGAATAAAAATGTGATCTTTCAGTCAATAATTATGATTATTATATAATAGACACTAATCATTACTAATACTATAATTTTTAAAAATGACAGGCCTTGTAGAAAAAGCAAAAACTAAAGCATACAATTCTAGTTAAATCTAAACTCCCTCTCTCCAAACCTCTAATTTACCCATTTAAGAATAAAATAATTCAGATGAAAGAGGCCGAGCTAGATGGCTGAATAGAAGCATTCACCAATCCGCTTCTCAACAGGAACACAAAACTGAACAAGTATCCACACAGAAAAGCACCTTTATGAGAACCAAAAATCAGATGAACAAATGCAATACCTATTTTTAGCTTCATATTCCTGAAAAAGGCACTGAAGAGGGTAGAAAATACAGTTTTCATGCTCACCTCAGCAGCATATATACTAAAAATTAGAACAATACAGAGAAGATTAGCATGGCCCCTGTGCAAGGATGAGATGCAAATTCGTGAAGCATTCCATATTTTTTAATAGCCTATCAATCAAAAAACGTCCAAACCCAGAGGAGTTCACAGCCGAATTCTACCAGACATACAAAGAGGAACTGGTACCATTCCTTCTGAAACTATTCCAAAAAATTCAATAGAAGGAAATACACCCTAACTCATTTTATGAGACCAAAATCATCCTGATACCCAAACCTGGCAGAGGCACAACTAAAAAAAGAAAACTTCAGGCCAGTATCTATGATGAACATTTTTGCAAAAATATTTAATAAAATACTGGTAAACCGAATGCAACAACATATCAAAAAGCTTCTCCATCACCATCAAGTAGGCTTCATCCCAGGGATGCAAGGCTGGTTCAACATATGCAAATCTATAAACATAATCCATCACATAAGTAGAACCAAAGATAAAAACCACATCATCATCTCAACAGATGTAGAGAAGGCCTTCAACAAAATTCCACAGCCTTTTATTCTAGAAACCGTCAATAAACTAGTTATCAGTGGAACATATCTCAAAATAATGAAAGCTATTTATGAGAAACCCACACCCATCATCATACTAAATGGGCAAAAACTGGAAGCATTCCCATTGAAAACTGGCACTAGAAAAGGATGCCCTCTCTTACCACTCCTATTCAATATAGTATTGGAAGTTCTAGCCAGAGCATCAGGCAAGAAAAAAAAAATAAATGGTATTATTCATTTAAGAAAAGAGGAAGTCAAATTGTCTCTATTTGAAGATGACATGATTGTATATTTAGAAGACTCCATCCTCTCAGCCCCAAATCTCCTCAAGCTGATAAGCAACTTCAGCAAAGTCTCAGGATACAAAATCAATGTGCAGAAATCACAAGCATGCCTATACACCAATAACAGACAGAGAGCCAAATCAAGAGCAAACTGCCATTCACAATTGCTACAAAGAGAATAAAATATCAAATCAAAACCACACTGAGATATCATCTCACGCCAGTTAGAATGGTGATCATTAAAAAATCTGGAGACAACAGATGCTGGAGAGGATGTGGAGAAATAAGAACACTCTTACATAGTTGGTGGGAGTGTAAATTAGTTCAACCATTGTGGAAGACAGTGTGGTGATTCCTCAAGGATCTAGAAATAGAAATTCCATTTGACCCAGCAATCCCTCTATTGTGTATATACCCAAAGAACTATAAATCGTTCTACTATAAAGACACATGCACACGTATGTTCATTGCAGCCCTGTGTACAATAGCAAAGACCTGGAACCAACCCAAATGCCCATCTATAATAGACTAGACAAAGAAAATGTGGTACATATACACCATGGAATACTATACAGCCACAAAAAACGATGAGTTCGTGTCCTTTGTAGGGACTTGGATGAATCTGGAAACCATCATTCTCAGCAAACTGACACAAAAACAGAAAACCAAATACCACATGTTCTCACTCACAGGCGGTTGTTGAACAATGAAAACACATGGATGGACACAGGGAGGGGAACATCACACACTGAGGTTTTTTGGGGGGTGGGGGGCTAGGGGAGAGACAACAGAAGTTAGGGAGGTTGGGAAGGGATAACATTGGGAGAAATATCTGATGTAGGTGACAAGGGGATCGAGGCAGCACACCACCATGGCATGTGTGTACCTATGCAAGAATCCTGCAAGATCTGCACATGTACCTCAGAACTTAAAATACAATGAAAAAATAGAAAAGAAAAAGAAAATTCAGTTTTGAATTGATAACACATTCCTCCATATACTGGCAGCAGACACAGGAGATACAGAGAGAATGTGCACTTGAGGGAGAGAGAATGCAATGATTGTGGGGCACTGCATTAGAACTCAGTGCTGTTCTGTAACAGTCAGTGAAAACCAACATGAGACATAACAAAGCTAGAACCCATGGAGGGACCGTTTAGAACATCCTTAGCTAGCGGAGAGTCACTCATTCCAGCATTTGGAATCTCAATTCAGGAAAGCTCCACCATGACAGGCTACAGTGCTTTGTAGTCCTCAAAACACATCAAAGGCAGCCTAGGCCACAAGGACTGGAATCCCTGGGCAAGTCCTCGTGCTGTGATGGGCTCAGCACCAGCACACTTGCAGGGCATGTGACCTAGTAAAACACCAGTCGGGTGACCCAGAAAGTGCTTGCCATACCAATTCCGCAGCTCCAGGCAATGCCGTTTGCAGCTCCAGGACAAAATCCTTCCTTCTGCTTGAGGAGAGATGGGACAGTAAAGAGGACTTTGTCTCGCAACTTAGATACCAGCTCAGCTACAGTCAGATAGGGAAGCAGATAGATCCTTGAGGCTCCCATTCCAAGCCCTAACTCCTAGATGACACTTCTAGACACATCTGGGCCAGAAGGAAATGTACTACCTTGAAGAAAATGACCCAATCCTGGTAGAATTCATTACCTGTTGACTAACAAGCCCTTGGACCCTGAATGATCAGCAGTAATAGGCAGTACTTGCATGGGCCTTGGTTGAGACTTAAGGTGTGCTGGTTTCAGATGAAACAGCACATTCTGAGCTGTGGTGATCTTTCTTTTCTTTCTTTCTTTCTTTCTTTCTTTCTTTCTTTCTTTCTTTCTTTCTTTCTTTCTTTCTTTTTAAATATAACTCCTTCTGTTTTAGAAAAGGAGAGGGAAAAGTAAACGAGATTTTGTCTGGCACTTTAGGTACCAGCTTAGCCAGATGCAGAAGACCTCTAAGCAGCTCCTGGAGTCCTCAGTTTCAAGTCTTGGGTACTATGTGACATTTCTGGACATGATCTGGGACAGCAGGGAGCTCCCTGCCCTGAAGGGAGAGTTCCAGGCTTCGTAGCATTCAACAAAAGCTGACTGAAGAGCACTAGGGTCTTCAGTGAACATTGGCAGTAGCCAGGAAAAACTTGTCTTGAGCCTGGGGCAGTGGAAGCCACAGAGACTTCTCTGATTGAAAAAAAGGAGAAAATGGGAAGGACTTTGTTTTGTGACTTGGCTATGCAGTCCAGGCTCCTGGACTACAGCTCTAGACCTTTCCAGGACTGAGGGAAACTTGTCACCTGGAAGGAAGGACACAAGGCTACCTGGCTTCGTCAACTTCTGATTGTGGAGCCCTAGATCCTTCATGAACATAGGTGGTAGCTGGACAGTGGATACCAGAGGCCTTAGGTGAGGCACAATGCCATGGTAGCTTCAGGTCTGACCCAGTGCAGTCTCAGCGGTAGTGGCCACAGGAGTGCTTGTATCACACCTGTCCAAGCTCCAGGAAGCTCAGAACAAAGAAATAGACTCCCCCAAAATTTTTCTTTTTAAAGAAAGGAGGAAGAGAGAGAGAGTGGGATGTTTGGCTTTGGAGAGGAAACCTTCATTGCACCAGCAATGTAAAAGAGAATTAAATATGGGTGATTTTGAGAAAGGCAAGAATATTTTTGTTCAGAAGTGTGCTCAGTGCCCCACCATGGGTGGAAAAGAAGGGCAAGCACAAGACTGGGCCAAATGTCAGTAGTCTCTTCAGGTGGAAGATAGGTAAGACCATTAAATTCTCTCACACAGATGCAAATAAAAAAAAGGGGGGGCATCACCTGGGGAGAAGATACACTGATGCAGTATTTGGAGAATCTCAAGAAGTACATCCCTGAAACAAATATAATACTTGCCAGCATTAAGAAGACAGAAACAGCAGACTTGGCCACTGCATTATTTATTACAAAACAAATGTCCCATGGCTTTTTTATGTGCACTTTAATAGATCTCATACACCAAAATTTATATCATGAATGATTGACAGAATATCTTGCTGGGCAGTCCTTATTCAAAACTAAGACTGGTTTCTGGTTAAACGAATATGTTCAGTTTTTGAATTTTAAAAGTAATTCCAATTCAGTAAATGCTATCACTGTTTACACCTTCTAAAGATATAATTAGACTTTGTAAGTAATGTTAAACTTTTCACAAAATTAGCAAGTGGCATCTCAAAACTTACTGGAGATTGGTTTTATATTTAGATTTATACAACTGGTTATGTAAACATATTTAAATACTAGAAAAATTCCTTCACTGTCTCAGAACCAAGCACCATTCACCTGTTTGTCACATTCATTTGCCTCTTAAAGGCAAGGGTCGAAGATAAAGTATCAATGGAAGAATATTATAAAAATGCAATACTGCCCAAAGTAATTTGTAGATTCAATGAAATCCCCATTAAGCTACCATTGACTTTCTTCACAGAATTAGAAAAAAACTACTTTAAATTTTGTAAGAAACCAAAAAAAAAAAAAAAAAAAGCATGCATAGCCAAGACAATACTAACCAAAAAGAACAAAGCTGGAGGGATCACACTACCTGACTTCAAACTATACTACAAGGCTACAGTAATCAAAACAGCATGGTACTGGTATCAAAACAGATATATAAACCAATAAAACAGAACAGAAGCCTCAGAAATAACACCACATATCAACAACCCTCTGATCTTTGAAAAACCTGACAAAAGCAAGCAAGAGGGAAAGGATTCCCTATTTAAAAATTGTGTTGGGAAAACTGGCTAGCCATATCAGAAAACTGAAACTGGATCCCTTTCTTACACCTTATACAAAAATTAACTCAAGATTGATTAAAGACTCAAACATAAGACCTAAAACCATAAAAACCCTAGAAGAAAACCTAGGCAATATCATTCAGGACATAGGCATAGGCAAAGACTTCACGACTAAAACACAAAAAGCAATGGCAACAAAAGCCAAAATTGACAAATGGGATCTAACTAAACTAAAGAGCTTCTGCACAGCAAAAGAAACTATCATCAGAGTGAACAGGCAACCTGCAGAATGGAAGAAAATTTCTGCAGTCTACCCATTTGACAAAGGGCTAATATCCAGCATCTACAAAGAACTTAAACAAATTTATCAGAAAAAAAAACATCAAAAAGTTTGTAGACTATGTACAGAAAATCCTCAAAAAAAGTCATTTATGTACCCAACAAACACATTAAAAAAAACCTTACCATCACTGGTCATTAAAGAAATGCAAATCAAAACCA